GAGAACGGCTCCTTCACCCTCTGGTCCCTCGCCTTTCCCAGTCGGAATATTTATACTTAACAACTTTGAGATGACCCCACGTTTAATCCCTTAAATTCTCCGCGGGTCTGGGAGACCTGAAAACTGCTTACTTTGTGGTTTGGGAAGCTCTTTAAAGAACAGTTCGTTTTTCAAACCCCCCACGGGGATTTTGTGTCCCCGCTGGCCACCGGCCCAGTGTGGTCATGGGTGCCAAGCTAAAAGGACAAATGGTTGGTAACCAGTCCTCTTTTTGGAATCTCATAACTGCCTCCTCCCTCTGTGCTTTCTTATGCCAAGTCAAGTTTTAAGTGTAAGTGTGAGTACCGGAATCCATGCGAGAGCTGGTCATTGTCCTCAATTTATAGCAAATGGTGCTGGACCTCCATCAAACCTCTCCAGAGAACTAAGCCCACCTGGGGGTGCCATGGAGACCCCCTAAAGCTCCTCAATTTTCATTGGTCATCCCGTGAGGTTTTTAATATAAGCAACTGACAATTCCTCCTCAGTCTTTCTGTAAAGTACTCTGCAAACTCAACTTCAGAGCCTTTTCCCAAGAATATTGGCCCTTTGAGTCCCTCCTATCCAGACTTTTAAGTTATTTTCATTTTTATTGAACATACAACACTGAAGTGTGCATAATTCTGCATGTTTCATTTTAGTTCTTCACCACCTTCTTCTTAGCATAGACCCAAGGATTTATAGGATTGCTAACTCAAAGTGTGTTTCTCAATGCCACCAGCAGTTTAGAAATGTCACTCTCACCAGAGTCTTCCTAGGATAATTATTATAAACATTTTTTGAAAATTAAATAATCACAAAATTCAGAGAATAAAAAACCAAGCTGATTTTTGGCCTCTCCTTAGCATAGCACTTTTCTCTCCTAGAAAAGTGGCACTTTTTTTTTAAAAGGTCATATGTTAACATGAAAATTGTTTATAAAACAATGAAAAGTCCTTAGAGCAGAGTTTTCCTAAATATTCTTGCCTTTGTCCCTCAGTGAGAGTTTACATGACCTGGTGTACAGTCCCAAATTGAGACGAATGCAGAGTGCACTCTGATTTTACCTATTCTATTTCAGTGTATTAATTCACTAGTCAAGGTCTACTAAGTTTATATCATGACCAGCTTTGACTATCTGTTATAGTTTTAGGCTCTCAAGAACCCGAGACAAGGATTATTCCAGTGCAGGTAGTTTACTAGAGAGGTCATGTCTACACCACTTCTGGGGCAGAGGCCTAGGGAGTGAGCAGGAAGGGAAGACAGCCAATAAAGATGCTTATCAAGTCAGCTCTGGGCAGGGTGGGCTCTGTAGCCAGATGAAGCCCTCAAGGCTCTACAAAGCTTTGTGTGGGGGAGGGTGGGGGGATGGGGGCAGCCACTGACAGCAGTTACATCACTGCTGGTATATCCTATAGAGTTTTTCAAACCCTGCGTTGGAGCCAGCAGTAAGAATGCAAGCACATGGTACAGTAGAGTCCCTTTGCATGGGCTCCTCACTGCCCAGCAAGCAAAAGAGCAAGCAGGGTCTTATCACTGAAGAGGGTACCTGGGCTGTGTGTGATGGCACCAATCTGGAGAACTTGAAAATAGGAAGAGATGTGGTTATTCAGGAGGAGGAGAAAAGGCAGGAAAATGGAGCCTTTACAGAGAAACCTGAAAACTCCCTCCTTCCAAGAAAGAAAATATTGTCACCCATTCAGCTTTAGTTCTGGTGAGACGAAGATCCAAGATGTGGAGACAGGATATGTTATCTGCAAGTAGAGAGAATTTTACTTCTTCCTGTTTAATCTGGCTGCCTTTATTTCCTTTTCTTGCCTGATTGCCCTTGTTAGAACTACTGGTGTAACGTGGCATAGAAGTGGTGAGAGTGGGCTTCCTTGCCTTGTTCCTGACCTTAGAGGGAACGCTTTCAGTCTGTCACCATTTGGTAAGATGGTAGCTGTGGGTTTTCCACAGGTGGTCTTATTAGCTTGAGGAAATTGCTTTCTATTTCCAGTGTGCTGAATGCTTTTATCATGAAGAAGTATTGTATTTTGTCAAATGCCTTTTTTGCATCTATTGAGATGATCATAAAGATGTATTTTATTCTGTTGATATGTTGTATTATGTTAATTGATTTTTGAATGTTAAACCAAGCTTGCATTCCTGGGCTAGATCCACTCGGTCATGATGTGTGATCCTTTTTGACATGTTTATAGATGTGATTTGCTAATATTTTGCTGAGGATTTTTGCATCTATATTCATAAGAGACATTGGACTGTAGTTTTCTTGTGATGTCTTTGGTTTTTGCATCAAAGTAATAGTGGGTTCTTAGGACAAGTTAGAAAGTGTTTCCTTACCTTCTGCTTTTTTGAGAGAGTTTGTGAAGAATTGATTCTTCTTCATATGTTTAGTAAACTTCACCAGTGAAGCCATCTGGGCCTGTGCTTTTCTTTGTGGGAATTGTTTGGTTATTAATTCAACCTCTATTTGTTATAGGTCTGTGTTAGTTTGCTCGGGCTGCCACAACAAAATACGACAGGCTGGGTGGCTTAAACAACAGAAGTTTATTTTCTCACAGCTCTGGAGAGTGGAAGTCCAAGATCAAGGTGCCAGCAGGGTTGGTTTCCTTGAGGGTCATAAGGGCAAGATCCTCCCCACTTCAGACAAGGTGCCACCCACAAAATACAAAGAACCCTCCTTCCTTCACTAAACAGGACTGCTACTTTAGCAACTGTAGCTTTATATTAATCAAGTCCACCTGGATTGATATCCACCTATAAGATATTAAGATTCATTGAGATACTCAGTCACAGAATTCACCCCATCTAGAGTAAGCCCCTCCTTCCTTAGACCTTTCCCAGAATTACTCATCCACAGCCCAAATCCCATAATTGTTTTCTTTCCAACACTCTTACTGAGACACCCAACAGTTCCATATGGAGTCCATTGTCTCTTGCTACAATGAGTAATAAACCCAAATTCTTTGACTACAGGTGTGTTTCTGGTGGTCTTCGGATGATGGACAGTGACACATGAGAGATTTGCCCTCCAGCTCCTTCTCTTCTGTCCTACTTCAGCTCAACATTCCCCTGCCCTAACCATAGTACACTCCAATACCCTTTGCTGATGGGTCCTTGTACCTGGCAAGGACCCTTCTTGGTGGGACATCTGCAAGATTTCTCAGGCCAGCAAACTTCAGTGGCATCTTGGGAACTCATGGTGCCACGCAGCCTGCCCTGCTGTGTCCCTCTGTGCCTGGCCTTCCCAGCAGATATCCAACTGGGAAATGGAATATTTGTCTCCCTTTGTTGAAAACATCAGAAATATGTTGGTTTCTCCCCCATCACTTGGCTCCTTTGTGTGGGTAGCCAGGACAGGCATGGGAGTGGAGAAAACCCCTGCATCCTCCGGGAGGCTCTTTCTCGCCCCAGCCTCCTTACATGGAGTAGGGGTTAATGTGTTGGGCAGGAGTGATGGAGGCAGGGCCATCTAGCACTGAGGAACATTCTGCTTCAGTTCTTGGTGGCTCTTTCAGAATGTGGAGACACATCACACCTGTAGTTTTGGCTTCTAGTGTCATTTTCAGGCTAGGGAAAAGTTGTTCTATTCAACTGCCTGTTACAGTAGTTATCTATTATCTTTATCATCATCTCATTTTTTATCTCCTCTCCTGCTTCCTTCTTCAACACCATCAGTAAGCAGATTGTCAGGTGGTGGGGTGACAGGTATATGATCAGCCCAGCCCAGATAAACAGCATGTAGAAAGGAATGAAGCCAGTGGAAACCATCTTGGC